AGAAAACTACTCAGATCTCATGGGAAAAACACAACGAAACTCGAAATTCATATATAAAAGCAAAGTCATACAAACTACAACAAGTAAATAACACTTATCTCTAATTTCTCACCAAGCAAACTCCTTAAAGTTCCTCTAAATCTCTTCCTTTTTTTACATTACACAGAATTCCTCTTCGAAGCGGCAAGGAGGAAGAAATCTCTCACTTTCCCTCCACCCTTACAATCTCTCGAAGAATTCCTCACAATTTAGACTCTCTACACTTTTTCACACTTCAATTTTGAGCCCCTCTCTTTCTCTTAGAATCTCTAGAGTCTCCTCAATTTTCGGTCAAATTCTTCTTTTAAAGTTGTGGATGAGTTTAAGAGTTGCCTAAGCATTACTCCAAAATTCGTCCTCATCCAATGTATTGTTGGACATAGCCGCCGAGCTCGCCGTAGGTGGCCTCAAGGGCGTTGTCGGCGGGCCTTCGAAGTGAATTAATTCTAGAGTCTCGGGAAAAGTCCTTCGTCGGCGCCGTTGGGCTCGTCGTTGGCGCCCTAGTTCAAATCTTCACATTTTGGTCATTTTCGCTCTCAATTTGCTCCTTTTTGTATTTTTTTGCTCCAATGACCCTAATTCATCATTCCTGCAACAAAACATCAAATATACATTTCTGTAAAGTGCAATATCATCAAAAATATTATAAAATAGGTATGAAAATCTCAACATATTTTCCTTTGGTCACTTCACCACAGACCCTGGTTTATATCTACACTCCTCCTACCATAATAACACCAACACCAGCTGCAACTACAGTTTCATCTACTAATCCATCTACTTGGGCAGAGAGCCATGCCGCTACTGCTGAGTGAGAGGTGTCGGGCGACACGAGCAGTAGTTATCAACTTGAGCCCACGCGATAGATGTAATTTTTTTTATATAGTGATGCTAATGCTTTACTTTTTTTTAACTTAATGTAAAACTAATTATATATTATTTCAAATTTTATTCGAGATATTATTCAGAGCAAGTACGATGCTCCATACATGTCGTGGAAGGATATCCTAATAGCAACTCGAGATACGCGATAAAAGAAGTATGAAGTATCTACCGAACACAATAATCTTACGTTATGTAAATATATTTATTAATATAACATTTTCAATTTTATTTTGTAGATTGCCTTGAGCATGAGGCCCACATTCAGAGGTATTTTGCGTGCAAGGGAAACAATCGTCTTCATTGCATGTTTAGGGAGGCACGGAAGTCACATCAACACACATTGTGGCTCGATGGAGATGTGTTTAGCTCAATGCTCAGAGCCTAGGATTCTTAAGAATATCAGAGGAAGACTCAATAGGCAAAAAAAAAACAGTCCTATAATTGTGGAGGAATGAAGACCTTCAAGCATATTGGTGGGGTGCTCTCACATATCGAGTATAAAAGGAGGCCAGTAAGAATTATTTTAAACATTAAATCCTATTATAAATTAAATAGAAATAATAAATATTTCATTGTATTGAAAACTATAAAGCTAGGACAAGAGCCCACCACTTCGGACTTACACGTACACACCCATAAGCGACAGTCAGACCAGGCCTTGGTAGACAACAAATCTCAGAAGACCAATATAAGTCACAATAGATATTAAAATTTATAATTTAACCTCTAACTTTCTTTAATAATTTTTTTCGCGAGAGACATTCCAAAAGCTAAAGGAGAGTCCAACCTAGCAGCATGGCAGACTTACAATCACAGGTTGTTATTTGTCCGACTATGAGTTGTGGAGGGAAGCTACCTAGGCAACAAGAAGGGACAAGTCTAAAGATTAGGGTCTCAGGTGCAAGCCTACAATACTCATCCCTCCTCGAGTACATTCAAGACATCCACTTCTACCGCCCAAGATGATTAGGTTTGTAGACATTTTACCACATTCACTATCGATATCGAGACTCAATTTGTTGGCCGGTTCACCC